CGAATATGGAAAAAGAAATCTGATCCTAAGCTGGCACACAGAAGATGTGAAAGATTTAAATAGAAAAGTTCATGTGAAGACTGTCAATAGGGTCTATATTTAGGAGTTCCTCTTGATGGAAGTATATTCTAAGACCAAAAATTCAAGTCTAAGGCTAAAAAGGTCGACTTGTTAAGAATGAAAGACTAAATGTTCCACTCCATAAACGAGGAACAGTTCCTTAATACAGAAAAACAATCAAATTAAACAGTGAACTACATTAGAATATTCAAAAACAACCCTAAAGCTTTTTTAGCCATCATAGGTTCTCCATTTCTCAAGATTGCAACTTCACTAACCAGAAGTTTTGACTGCTTTACAGTATGCCCTCCTCAGATTATACATAAGAGTTAAATCTAAATTCCTTACAGAACATCCTCATTCTTCGCCTGACATGAAGATTCTCTCCTATGGAAAAATCTCCTGCAAGAAGATTGCAGTTGCAAGGGATGTTGAATACAAGAGGTAGAGGATGGGGGACTGCAGGAGAGGAAGTAACAATGAACCACAAGGGATACAAAAAAAAGTGCACATCTGAGACAGCAAACTGACATTTCACAAATATTTATTAAGGCTGTAGTAAATGTAAATCATCCTAAAATTCTGAAGGACATTTTCCTTTGGGGAGCAAAGGCAACTTAATATGAGAAGAGAATTCCTCTCAGCTGTTTTTAACTCTGCTTATTTTTGTCACTCAAGCACACACTATATGACTCAAACTAGTCAAACTTGCAGGTCTGAAATGACCCTGATAGATGTAATAACATTAAAATTCTACCCATAAGCAAGCTTGTTAGGCCTTCCTGGAGCATTCCCACAAAAGCTTAGCTTGAACACAGCACCTGGTTTTCAGCCAAACCCCACCAAGCTCTCTCAAGGGGTCAAGTAAAGACAATACAATTGTTAACACCTATTTCAGGCTCTGTATTTCACCGCTGAAACTACACACTGGAAGGTTGTCTTAAACATGTCTTATTCCAGGGTACTTCACCACTTCCCTGCCCCACAAGGGATTACTATAACCATCACTTGCCTATGGCTAAAAGATTTTTGGACCACTTTCCAGTTGTTCTGTTGCAAGGAACATAGATTTCTCTGTGGGGAGACAGTTTCATTTGGAAGCAAACACTGAGAATTCCTTTCCATGTATTTGCTCGCTGGTATAGTGTATTTGTTCACATGATGTAGTAAATAAGCCTGTGGTGACATGCGTCTTCCCAAATGGATATTCACTACTGAGAAGATCACGGAAAGGCATCAGGAAACATTTATTCATTCCAGCTGCACTTGACATGCTTAGTACACAGGGGAAACAAAAAAGGTATTATTTACTTTACAACCTGTCAGACCATATTAACAGTACTAAAAGCAACAAGCTGTGTTTTCTATTCACCATTTCCACCAGTATTTTTACATGCTTCTTCACCCAAAAGTGATAGAAACAGCTAGGTGTACTTTTACTGTATTGAGTCAAATCAAGCTCCAAGGTCAAGCTGCACCCCTTTTGTTAAAAACACCTTATAGTCCTGCAGTCTTGTTTTAAAACACCCTGCTATTGAGACAAAGACATTAAAAGATGTTAAGATGTTAAAAATAACACTTCCTTTGACAGATTTCTTTAAACTCAACACTCTGAATTGCCCATGGAGTGACAAAATCCTGCTGTTAACCAGCATGTTATTTTGGCTGCACATTTTTCAAAGGATTTGTATGATGTAAACTATAAAGTAACAATGAAAAGGAGATGGGGAAAAAGTAACTTCAACTTCTAAGGTGTTTAAAATCTTAAATACTGTCACTGGGTCTGCAGTTGTTTCTTATTCAGCTTTTACAAAATACAGTAAAATGGACACTCTCCTGAATAACAAATACATAGGAAACCTGCTTAACTGAAGAACATATTGTTAATTTATTGTATGTATGATGACATCAAGCAGGTTTTGCAGAGTTTCTAGCTAAAATGATAGCTGTATTCACATACAATAAATAAGCTGAATGTTAACAACACAGTCTTGCTACCCCTCATCTCAATCCCATTCCCACAACAAAACTTCTGAAGAGAAATTCAACTACTATTTGGGACTGTTCCCTACTAGTTACAGGTAAGATTTCTTCTCCTAGCAGCAATACACTAAGCAGCCAAATTAAGGCATTTTGGTCATACACAGCAGCAGGACGATAAACTCCAGAAATATGTACTTTTAAGATTATCTGTCTACAGGCTTTCCAACAACACAACTACAAAAGCGTGTTACACAACCTGATCTGGCCATTTCAGTGCCAAACAAACAGCAGTCCCTAGATAAAGGGGAAAAAATACCCACAACATTATCTACCCAAGAAGGCAGGTTTTAAAGTGGATGAGTACTGTTTCTTCTACAACATCTCTCCTTCCAGATAAATCAGTCTTTTAGGCCAGTCTGACAAACCTATTGTGGAGGTTTATATTTCATTTAGAATACCTGTTTCTGAAAAGTAATGAAAAAAGTAACTATAAACAAGATGAAAGATTTTACAGTAGGTTAATACTCAACTGCTTTTTTCATCCAGAAAGCAGTACTTTTCACCCAGTACAGGCTTCAAATACCTCAGATGTAACCACTTATTAGAATATACCTGGAAAAGCAAAGTCTTCATCTAATTTCCTAAGTGCATGCTGTATAGGCATCAGTATAATGAATGTACCTCACAGCCCGTCAGAACACTGTCTACTGCTCTGTAGGTGATACCCCACTCGCAGCATCACTATTATTGAATTCCATGTTAACTTCAAAGCAAAGCTTCATCTTTCCTCGATTAGAACAAAATGGTTTATAAATGCATATAGAGAGCAACCACTACCTTTCCTAGACCCTTTTTTGGTTTGGTTGGCAGAGGAGGTTCAAGAGAGAAAAGGAAGAATATGGCAGACGGAGAGGAATCATCCTACATCTTATAGCTACGACTTCTCAATCCTCTAACATCACAAACCTAAGGGAGAAAACACGCAGAGCAGTGCTGCCCAACTTCCTCACAACTGCACATTATAACTCATAAAAGCACATTTTGCCCACAATTTACATTCTGAAGAAGGTTTAGAGGACAAGTCTTTAAATCATAAGCATAAAACCAGTTGTGATTTTCCTTTAAGAACTTAAAGCAATTCAAACTCTTACAAAAACGCTGCCTAACTGAAGAAATTCCTCTGATAGTTTATGACCTCAAATTTCCAAACATCTGAGCTGCTGATGCCATGCAAACTTTCGCTGTATTAGAAGTAAAAAGCTGTAAAACCACACTCACAAAACTGTAAGACTTAATCATATGGAGTTACAAATTTAATATTTAAGTCCCAGCTCAGCAAAGAATGTAAACTTGGACATTCTGCTGACTGAAGCTGGAATTACTCTCTGCATAAAGTCCATACGTTTAACTGTTTGCTGGATCAGGATTCCAACTTTCCGAAGTCTGCCACCTATGTGCAGTATTTACCAAGTGCTTTTACAAGGTCTCAAGTGTTGCCTTATAAAAATGCTCTCTGAGAAAAATACACTGTCAAAGGAGCACATGAACAGCAGGAGCTACATCAGTTTAAAACAGATTATTCTGGTTAATAAATCCCACAAATCAAACTACTGCACTAAAACAGGATACAACTTAACAGAGAAAAGCAAGCCCAAAACAAGCAGCAAGAACACCCGTGCTGTTGCTAAAAGTAACACCCAAAGCTGCTGCAACAAACATGTTAAAAAGCCCCCAAAACTCCCCTTGTTATTCTCCTGCCCAGGGTTATTTGTGTTTAATAACATTTCTGCCAACAGCCAGTTTTGTTGCTCGTGGACATCTGCCACTCAAGAGTAGGGAAAAATGAAAGTCTTGAAATACTACAGACATGGCAGTAAAAGCCATAATAGAAATCAAACAGGAAAACAAAAATACACAATATCCTGGAAGATTTTTAAGTTTGCACTATTTAATTCAGCTTTTGGGTATTTGCTGCCAGTCATCAGACTTCTTCCACCATCATATGATGCAGCTTCAAAAAACATAAGACTTTAACACTTGTGCAAGTAAAATTAATACGCTGGGTTACGTTAAGGTAATCTCTCTCCCTTATTTCCCAAGTCCCTGTCAAACACTTTAGTAACAAGTTTATATTCTCTGCCTAATCAATATTTTAAAAGAAGAAATACCTGTAAATTTATTTTGATGCTGAAATGTTGCAGTTAACTTCCGTTTTATTTCTGCAATCTAACAAACTGAGTCTTTTCAGATTTTAGCTCCAGTACAAAGGATAAAACCTGCACTATTTTACTGTCAGCAGTGCCAGCATCTACAGTTTCCATTCACTTGTGAGTGCTCCCAGTACACTACTATGCAGCAGAAGGCCTCTGAGGCAACTCCTGATCATTAAAATATGCCAAAACGCCATTCAAATACTACCCAAAAGTGATGGAAAGGAACCTAGAAGCCAAACGCCAACTCTCTCCGGTAAATCAGCATATTATGCCACAGGCACAGAGTTCCTCTTTGCAAAGTCCCCCCGTGGGAGGAGCCACCACTCGCTCCGAGGTTTAGGAGCTCAACTACCAGCACTCCTGCACTCAACTTACCGTCCACATCTTCCGCAGAAAGCCCTCAAAACGCAAACCTGCCCGCCCTACGCTTCCTCCTAAGTCACTCAGGAAAAGGGTGGCGAGTTAGCGGAGTCAGTCCCTGGTGCAGTAAAGGAGAACCAACCTGTACAACACCTATTTATATGAGTAGAGGAAGCACCCTGGAAAGCACCGGGAGCGGAGGAGGACACGGCTAAAGGGCAGAGGGTGCAGAGAGGCCAAGGCAGGGCAGGCGGCCACAGGGCAGCGCGGGGCATGCGAGAGGTGTCAGAAGAAGACAGCCCTGGGCGACTAAGGGCATTGGCACCTGTAGCCGGAGGGCTGGGGTGCGCAGGGGAGGAGGGGGAGAAGGACGCAGAAGGGTACCTTTGAGCTGGGGCAGCGGCGAGAGCTCCACCTGGCTGCTCTGGCTGCGGAACTGCGAGGAGCCCTGCGAGCGCTTCTGCCTCTGAGCCTTGCGCACCGATTTCCGTGTGAAGCCATCCACTTTCTCCGCGGCAGAGATGGCCGCCGACATGGCTGGGCGGTGAGGCGGCGCGGGGGGACGTCGCTCTCCAGAAGCATATATTAAAGCGGAGGGAGAAGCGGGCGGCCAAAAAAAGGGCTTAAACAAAAACCACAAAACCCCCACAAAATCCAAGAGGCCGGCAGACCGAGGCTCCCCTGCCCGCACACACCACACGGCCGGGAAGAGGGGAAGAGAGGGACTAGCGGCGAGCGTTCGGGAGGCTCCCGGGTCCGGGCTGCAGCCTGGCTTCTCTGTTCCTGCTTCCCTCGGCGTTTCCTTTGGGCGCGGGGCCGGCTGCCGGGGAGGCGGGGGGGAGCGGAAGAGGGGGAGAAGGGAAGGGAAAAACAAACAAACCAACCCAGCGACAACTCCGCTCCGCGGGGCGGGCGGGCGCCAAACTTTCCCGCGGCGGGTGGGGGCAGCACGGCCGGGGCTCCCGCTCTCCTCAGGGCAGGGCCGGTCTCGGGGAAGCCGCTGCCCCGCTCCCGCCTCGCTCGCTCCGCGTCCCCTTCAGCCGGGCTCGCCTGCGCCAGCCTGCGCCGAGCCCGCTGTCATCGGCTGGAATCGCCTCTGGGCCGAGCTCGCCGGGAAGGCGGCTTCCACTCCCCGCTCCTCAGCCGCTCGCTTCCACACGCCCCTGTCCTCTGCCTTCAACTGCCGCCGGGTGCTCTCCGCGCCTCCGCCGTCATCCTGCCTGCTCCAAGCTGGGGCCGCCGCGAGGTGCCCGCCCGCCGCAGCCGCAGCGCCCCGGAGCCGCCGGGCGTGGGGCCGCGGAACTTGGCGGAGCGAACAGAGTTGAGGGGAGGAGGGAAGGGAGAGGGGCGGGGCGGGGCTACCGCCAAGGGGGCAAGAAGAGGCGAGAGGAGTGGCCGCTGCTGGCGGCGCTGGATGATTGACAGCCAATGAGAAGAGAGGATCGTGGGACACCCCCGCCCTTCTCGTCGCTGAAGGGCTTGTGGAGGGTGCGGAGGGAGACGGAGTGACATTAGGCTTGTCCAATTGCGAGGAGGGGCGGGGCGGGGGCGGGGCTTACCAAAGGCGAGGGGTGGGACGGACGCCAGCCAATCCGCGCTAGGAGGCGGGAACGTTGGGGGTGTGACGTCGCCGCGCAGTTACGCCCACCGTTACGGGGTCTGGGGCGGTGTGGAAGCATGGTCCGCTCGGTGGGTTCCCGGCGGCGGGGAGGAGCTGCTGCCGGGACCGGGCCTTCTTCCCGTCGCGGGCTCCCAGCCTCAGTCGGGCCGCGGGCAAGCCGGAGACCCGGCTTGGGTGTCCTCCGGCGGCACCGGTGTGACTGGGAGCTCAGCAGCCCGCTGGATGCTTTCAACAAGCCGTTAGCAGCCGGACGGGGGATGCTCCTTACGGGGGAAGCTGCGGGAAGGGTGTTCAGCAGCGAGCGAGGCGGGCTGTGCCGCTTTAGAAGTGCTGCTGCCTTGTGTTTCTCCTCCCTCCCCCGCGCATCCACGTGTTGTGGCTTCCGTGCCTCTCCGGCTGAGTTCGGCTCCGGAAGAGCCGCGTTACCATAGCGCTCGCTTTCTCCCCCGAGTCAGTCTCGTTTGTAGGCTGAAGACTGAGAACTGCCCCGAACAAACACGTGCTGAGCTTTCCAGGAGGGAATGTTTATGGAATAACTCATTGCTTCTGCTTTGAGCTACGAGAGATGAGACCCGAGGCTGCAGCCAGCACTTACGAATCACGGTGACGTGTACCAGTCTGACTGCTGCTCCGTCCCGCTTCCATGTGGGAGCAGCTCCCCCTTTGGAGCTCCACACATGTGGGATGCCTTCGGCTGTAGTCATTCCCATAGAAGTTTTATACACATCAGCACATTTCTTCATACTACATGGTTTTAAGTACCCATTCAGCAAATAAGTATTTGTAGTATTTTAAATACACGCTCAAGTTTCAGTAGCTGTGGTAGGACATAAGTACTGCAAAGTAACCAGAAATGTTTGCTAAATGCCTTCATGACTTAGAGTTTAATCTTTATATGTATAAGCCATAAATCAAAAGCCAAGTGTAGATTATAGCTTTACGCAAACATAAAAGAAGACTGAGACTGTGGAGGCCTGTTCAATAGAAACTGTTGTCTGTGTTTCCTTCTGTCATTCCTTCCTTTTTACTTTCCTCTGTCAGCACAATGTTTTAATGTATGATTACTTGTGCCTCTCCTGACTTCCTTGCCTTTGGGAAGTTATCTTCCATGTTTCAAAATAGAGGGATGAAGAGTTCTCTAAGAGAATTCCCTTTCTATATACTTTAATTTCAATTATGGATACAGCATAGCTAGAAATAGCAGGGGACAAGCGTAATATGCTGTTATCTTTCTTGCAGGTATGTAGACTTTGTAGTTCTTTATCTATTACCAAATCCATTTTACAGACAACATGGCAGTCTTTGGGCGCTTGTCTTTTAAACTGCCAGCTCATGGGTTTGTTGCAGTAAAGATACCTTTGCATTCCTTACCTGGTTAGTTCACAGTTTGCCTTATGGCTCACAGCTCCTGTCAAGAGCACTCAGGCCTGGACCCTGTGTCGGTGTGTTCCTCTGTTCCTGCCTGCCCTCCACCAGCTGTCATTTTCTTCTGCACCCATTTTTAGAAGCTGACACTGCCCAGCGTCCCCTGTGCACTGTTTATTGGCAACTCAAGCCTTGCTGCCTGCTCCCGGTGTGAAAGAGGCTGCCTTAAAGTTTCATCAATTAAATAGCTTGGATTTTGTTAATGAAGAGTGCTGAGCTTTAAAATCTTTTCTTCACCAAGTATTTTCTTCTTACAGGGCTTTGCAGTGGCTTTCATTGCTGTTTGTGTTGTAAAAGCCTGTTGGCAGCTGAAATTCATGACGCAAAGACCTTGGTCAATAATAGGTGTAGGCTTGCAATGATAGGATTTTCATATCAATTGCACTGGGAGATATTTCCAGACCGTATCTTCGTGCATCACTCGTAACTGAAACATTGGTGAAATCTGAGTCAGCCAAACAAAAAGAAGCTGGTTTATTCTCTTCAATAAATGAAAAGTGGTTTTAGCTGTTGAGTTTTGTTTTGTCTTCTTAAGATAACTCTTCTGTTTCAGAACAGAATCAGCAGCAGATCTACAGACCAGCTAGAGCTTCCCACATTGCAATGGTAATGTTTGAGTTAACGTCCACTCAAAGTTAGTGGCACTATGTGGGAAATCACTGGAGCATGCAGGCCTGTGGGACTGGGGTGTTTGGAGAGAAAACCAAAAGCAAGAGTCAATCTGAAATAGCTACGTTTGAGAAGGCTGAAGATTGCCCTTCCCTGCTTTCTGCACATACTGCTTCCTACACAGCTGCCGGAGCTGCTCTGAGTCAGCTTCTGAACCTCCTGGTTTTGAGAGCGTATTTAAAGGCACACAGTGATGATGCCAGGTTATAAGCTGCTGGCTCCAAACCCAATTCATCAAAATCTGAGGTCTCCGCAGAGAATGTTGTGAATAGTAATTTTATGCCAAGCTATTCCCACTCTTAAATTGGAGCCCTCAGTGTGCACTGAAGCACTGATTCTGCAAAACCACATGCGTGTCTCTAATTTGACTTGGAAGAAAGCTCATTATCATTCACAATCATTATTCAGAACAGAGGAGCAACATTCTGGAGCAGATTTAACTAAAAGTCACACTTGCAGTTCTTTTCATTCAATCATAAGAGATTTATTTCCTTCTTAGCACCTTTTTACCCAGAAGTGAGACCTTTTGAAAGGTGGATGGGAACACGACATACCATTAACTTGCAGAAACCAGATAAACTTGGCTTGAAAGCATGGCACTTCGAGTACCAGGTTGCTATGCAGTTTTTACTAGGGGAGTTGCCTGGCTGCTAGCAAATGAGGAGTTAACTGTAGCTCTGCTTTCCCATTCTGTACTGATGCTTAGAGGCCAAGTTACAAGGAATCTAGCTCTTCTCAGAGACAGTGGGAGGAATATCTTAGTAAAGATGTTACGGCATATCTTCTTAGTAAAGAGGATGCCCTAAGTGGGTGAACCCGCAGCCAGGCAGGTTTTGTGGAGGAAGAATATGGAAACTTACTTTTATTTTCCTTTCAAAATTAATATTTTTAAGGAAAAGCCCTGTTGGCAGCAGCTGTGTTTATATTTACTACTGCACTGGCTTTACTACTACCCCCATCAGTTTTTTAGGGGTATTTCAGCTTACTTAAAACACTTTTTGAGCTGAAGCTGTGCTCTGTCAAGCATACATGGAGTTAAGTTTAAGCACTTGTACTGTCCCAGTAAAACCAAGCGTGCTATTACTCACTTCAGGTTAAACTGTATGGTTGCATATTCTGTCGTCTGCACTGGCTAGCTGCTATCTAGCAGAAGTGTTCCTAAGTCTATTGCTTGATGAATCCTTAAATAATACAGCATTGGTTATCTCAGGGACCATCTGGCACCCTCCTCCCAGAGCAGGATTTGAAATTCTGGGATTGGAAGGCAGAGATTAGCTGATGAGGCCTTCTTTGTAAGAGCCTTGGGTTTCATTTCTTTTGGCATACCTCTGGATAACATCATGACAGTCTTCCCAGGGAAAACTGTGTGAATGAATATGGGCAGGCAATGGGTTGTTAAAACCAGCTCTGATTCATGTTGTTACTTTAAAAGACCTTTTCATTTAATCTTCTGTCAGGCAATCCAGCACGATTGTGTTGCAAAGAAAAGATGTAGTTTATCAAGTTTCTACACACAGGCACACACATGTACACTGATCCAATGAAAATGCATCCCAGTTTAACTCCTTAATTCTACCTGTAGCTTGAACCATCATTTTGGGTGGAAGCAGTGCTGTCTGAGAACGCAGCAGCAGTCACTTTGGCTCGGTAAGATGCAAAGCGTCCCTCAGGGATATAGGTTTACGGCTAAGCTTTCAAAGTCAGTTAGCATCTTTGCCGTAATGACATTTCCATACGGGAAGCTACAGAACATAAGCATATGTGTATTTATTAAGCTGTTCTCTGTGCTGAAGATTTGTTTGCATTTTATATATAAAACAGAGAAAGATCTTCAGCAAAAGGAATGAATTCATTGCATTTTTGGATGTAATAAATGGCACCTGTATTCATTGAAATACAAAATAACCCTCCCCAACAACCGACCACCACTGCCAACAACAAGAACCATGTAGCCTTTCCACTACCACTTGCTAAAAGCTTTTGT